CTGCAGCTCCTTCTGGAACAAATTTACTTTGGGTTCCTGAGAGGCTTGGCCAGCTGATAGGACAGACTGATGTTTCTTCACTTGAAATAAACATTAAGTCAAAACCTCTACCAGAAAACTCATACTGAAAAAGCCTGGCTCACTTCCTGATATGCAGGCCAAGGAAAAATAAGCACAAAACCTCAACTCAGGTTGACTAGAAAATTTATTCTAATCGCCTTTAGGTCTCTTGCACTAGACACACAGTACTTGAAATCTTTCTCCTATAATACTGTAGACTCTAAACTCTGAAAAGTAGTAAGAATGCTAGCCAATAAATACTGCTTAAAAAAAAAATCATACCTATTGGTTCTATACTTCTGCATCTCACACATCCCCCAGTTCAATGTTGATGGAGGCTTCATCAGTAAATTATTCACCAGATTTACAGAATACTCTCAAGGGTGTAAGAGCAGAACAAACATGGTCTTTTGCACCAGAGAAGTTATAGTGAATGTCTAATTGATCAATAAATAATCAACTGAAATGTTCAGAGATTACAAAATGGGTCAGCAGAACACAATGATGAGTACCAACATTAAGATGCTCATTATTTAAGGGGCGCCTGGGTGACTCAGTTGGTTAAGCATCCTACTTGGGCTCAGGTCATGATCTTGCGGTTCACAAGTTGAAGTCCCCAGTGGGGCTCTGTGCTGACAGCTTAGAGCCTGGAGCCCGCTTCAGATTCTGTGTCTCCCTCTCTCTCTCTGCCCCTCCCCTGCTTGCACTCTGTCTCTCTCGCTCTCTCTCAAAAATAAACGTTAAAAAATAATTTTAAAAAAAGATGCTTATTATTCAGATATTAGCTGGAAGAAAGAAGTTAAAAGATCTCCTCCTATTTTTAAATACAATGACTGGATCAAAGGATTTTAGGATTGGAAGGACCCTTTCTAAACAACGCTTCCTGTACCTGTTCTAGTTGAGTCCTCTGGAATAACCCAGATCAATCACCCTGTTTTCCACACATCAACCTTCACGTCCTAGAATCGCCTCTCAGATCTACATTCAGTGTTCTTCAGTTTACTGAGTCGTTCCAAACCTTAAACGCTGCCTCTACCCAGAACATAGTTTCCAGACACCCTTCCCATCCTAGCCACATTCCTCTGGACTGGCCCATGATCGGACGTTGTAAGTCTATGAATACGGACTAACATTATGTTAGTATTTTAACAACTGTGACATACTGTTAATCTATATTTTCTAAAGTTCTAATTAGTCTCTACCTTTTTCCATGTCTAAGGTATTTCATAACAAATACTTTAGGGGCACTTGGGTGGCTCAGTAGGTTAAGCATCCAACTTCAGTTCAGGTCATGATCTCACAGCTCATGAGTTCGAGTCCCACATCGGGCTCTGTGGTGACAGCTCAGAGCGTGGAGCCTGTTTCAGAATCTGAGTCTCCCTCTCTCTCTGCCCCTCCCCACTCGTATGCAAGCACACACACACTCTGTCTCTCAAAAAGAAACAAACATTAAAAAAATTAAAAATAAAAAAATAAATTCTTTAAATGTCCTAACATGGAATAAAGACAACTTTGATATTTTCTGTTGCTAGTTCCATTGCACAGAAGAAACATTCAATTTATAATTTAAAGAGGATTAAAAGGAAAACTTAAAGGGTCATTTTAAAAATCCTCTTTCATCATTCTTAGCCTTCTCGGCCTCCTATGAAAAGCACACCCTTTCTTTTATTGGTTGTACCATCTTTTTTTTCTTTTTTTTTTTTCAACGTTTATTTATTTTTGGGACAGAGAGAAACAAAGCATGAACGGGGGAGGGGCAGAGAGAGAGAGGGAGACACAGAATCGGAAACAGGCTCCAGGCTCTAAGCCATCAGCCCAGAGCCTGACGCGGGGCTCGAACTCACGGACCGCGAGATCGTGACCTGGCTGAAGTCGGACGCTTAACCAACTGTGCCACCCAGGCGCCCCATTCTTTTTTAATTTTTTTATGTTTATTTATATTTGAGAGAGAGAGAGAGAGAGAGAGAGAGAGAGCGAGCAAGCAGGCGAGGAGCAGAGAGAAAGGGAGACACAGAATCGAGGCAGGCTCCAGGCTCCGAGCTGTCAGCACAGAGCCCGACGCGGGGCTCGAACCCACAAACTGTGAGATCATGACCTGAGCCGAAGTCGGACGCTTAACCGACTGAGCCACCCAGGCTCCCCCCCATCCTTTTTTTTTTTTTTGAAAATGAGTGAGAGAACAAGTACACATGTGCAAGCAGGGGAGGGGCAGAGGAAGGGTGGAGGGTAGAAGAGAGAGAATCCCAAGCAGGCTCCACATTCAGCACAGAGACCAACCAGGAACTCGATTCCATGACCCTGGGATCATGACCTGACCTGAAATCAAGAATCGGATGCTCAACCGACGGAGCCACTCAGGTGCCCCATACAACTTTTTAACTGACAAAACCACGGAATTGGTTTGGATGCCGATTGTTGTTTACTTACTGTGGAAATTTTCCCACACACCACAAGGAAGGAAAGAAAGACGACACACCCAACTTTGATGATTGTCAACATTTTGCCGATCTTGTTTCCTCCATCTTGGGTTCCCCGCCCCACCCCCAGAGTATTTCAAGCAAATGCCAGCGTATCGTTTCATCTTCAACTGAAACACACACTGTGTATTAGTGCCTATTATGCCATAAGCACTGTGCTTAACCTTTTCTGGGCCTCAAATTAAAGGAACGTTAACAGTCAAGGCTAATCCTGTACCATCCATGTCTATTCTCATCCGACACTAATCTTCCCCCGCGTCTGGGTGCAGTTTTCAATACCTATAAACGCTATGGGAATTACTGCAGACCTTCAATGTTCTGCTTCATCAGAAAATATTCCTTTGTTATGGGTCTTTACAATATTGCCGGCTGAGGTCACTCGGTTGTGTTCAATGCAACAGAGGAGCAATTTCACTACTGGGCTGACACGCTGGGTTAATAAATTAGGGTGGACCGATCAGACAGTATTCGATAACCTTCAGAACTCACAGCGCTTTAGGACTTTAAAAGTACTTCCCAATACCTGAAGAAAAGGTAGTGTGGCAATATTCACTGTCAGTAATATCTACTTTTATCTTAAAGAAAACATATGAGTTTGGCTTCCCAGTAACAATTTGAGAGATGGTTATTAGACTGGTTATTAGAATGGTTATTTGACTTTAACTTTCATTAAACTTTAGGCCCATGATATTCAATTACTTCTTAGTACATAACGTGAGGTATTTTTGTACCACTTTTTAAGAAAGCAGAGTTAGCTGGCAAATGCTATAACTGGCTGCAGGGAGGCCAGATCTTGGGAAACTCTGTGATTTATAAATTACAAAAAAAAGAAATCTTCAACAGGCTAGAAAACCCGAAGATTTGCAAAGATGGGAAAACACCAACTCCTAAGAGCAGGAAGTTACTACCCAGGGGTGAAAACCCTTCATAAGTCAGGACAGAAATATAAACCCTGATGAGAAAATAGTCTACAGACTCTTATCTGGGTCTTGCCAAAGACATTTCAATCAGGAGACCTGAAAGAATCCTGTAAGACACTAGTATCTGCCTGGGCTGGGGAAGGGCTTGAAGAATGTGAGGAGAGGGCTCGAAAGAAGGAGTCACAGCAAAGTATGCATACGTCACTTTTTTTTTTTAATTTTTTAAGCTTTATTTTAATTTTTTTTTTTTTACATTTATTTATTTTTGAGAGAC